CCTGTCCCTCCATGCCTTGTCCCCAGTCCCTCTCCAGCTCTCCTGGAGCCCCTTTAGGCCCTGCCAGGGGCTCTCAGCTCTCCCTGGAGCCTTCTCTGCTCCAGGGGAACCCCCCCAGCTCTCCCAGCCTGGCTCCAGGGCAGAGGGGCTCCAGCCCTGGAGCACCTCTGTGACCTCCTCTGCTTTAACAGGTCTGTGACCTTCCTGTGCTGAGGGCCCCAGGGCTGGATGCAGCACTGCAGGTGGGGTCTCTCAAGGGCTGAGGGAGAGAATCCCCTCCCTCGACCTGCTGGCTACTCCCCCTCAATGCAGCCCAGGATGGTCTCTGAGTGCACACAGCCAGCTCATGTCCAGCCTCAGCCACCAGAACCTTCTCTGCAGGGCTGCTCTCAATGGGTTCCTCTCCCAGCCTGTATCATACCCTCACCTCCTCTCTTCCCCAGGCCAGGGGTTTGAAAGCATGGTCACCCCAGCCTGTCACCCCCCAGGGCAGGGGCAGCTGGGGGTGCTTGTGTTGGGACGTGACCCCCATTCCTGCCTCCTGCAAGGCCATCCCTGCTCCAGCCAGGGAGCTGCTCAGAGCTGTGGCTGCAGCCTGAGCCAAGGGAACCAAATGCTGCTCTCAGCAGGGAACCCCCTGAGATGCTGGATGTGGAGGAGGGAGCCAGAAGTGTCCAGGGAGGAAGCAGCCCCCAGCCAGTCCTGCTCTGGGCAGTGAGGGTTCTGCTGGGTTTGCAGGGTGAGTGTCCCTGCCACCAGAGCCAGGCTGCAGACACCCAGAGAGACAGACTGTCAGTGACAGGCATTTTGGGGACAAGATCTCACTGGTGCCAACGGGTAGCTTTGGGCTGTGGTGGTGCTGATGTGCCCTGCACAGGGTGTGCTGAGGGAGGAGGGGAGCACATCCTGAATGGTGCTGGGCAGGGGAAGGGGCTTGGAGTCCACTCCAAAGGGGAAGCCTCTGCCTGTGGAGCTGGTGGAGAGTGGGCTGGGATCCTGGGATCCTGCAGAGGTGCAGGCTGTGCTGGGAGCATCCCATAGGATCTGCTAGGGCTGGGAGAAGACCTGGACCTGTGCATGGTCCTGATTCTGCCTCTGCATTTGTTGCCTCCTCACCTTGTCCCTCCCCAGGCTCCTGCCAGGGAAGAAAAGTCCCCTGAGACCCAGCCCTGCCTGCTGCAGGTCCCTGGGATACAGGGACACCCCTGTCCCTGCCATGACAGTAACTGCACTAACACAGAGCTGGTCGATGCAGCGAAGGGCCGTGACCAGGGGGTCCTGGCACTGGGATGCCTGGCACTGGGATGCCCAGCAGGGCTGTGAGAGGGACCCACCAGCTGAGCCTTCCTGGTCCCGACCCCTCTGGCTCAGACATCCACGGTGTCCCAGGGGATGGAGCCCAGGTCCCCCACGATGCCCTGTGTGCCCCCCAGCCCTCTGGGTGTCCCCTCCCTTCTGAGGTGCTGGAGCTGCTGCTGACATCCCCCTGTCCTTGCTGTCCCCGCAGAACTCCATCCGGCACAACCTGTCCCTGCACACCCGGTTCATCCGCGTGCAGAACGAGGGCACCGGCAAGAGCTCCTGGTGGATGCTGAACCCCGAGGGCGGCAAGACGGGCAAGACGCCGCGGCGGCGGGCGGTGTCCATGGACAACAACAGCAAGTTCCTGCGCATCAAGGGCAAGGCCAGCAAGAAGAAGCAGCTGCAGGTGACGCAGGAGCGCGGGGAGGACAGCCCCTCCTCCCAGCAGCCCAAGTGGTCGGAGAGCCCCGCGTCCCACGCCAGCGACGAGTACGACGCCTGGGCGGACTTCCGGACGCGCGCCAGCTCCACGGCCAGCACGCTGAGCGGGCGCCTCTCGCCCATCATGGCCAACCACGAGCCTGACGAGCTGGAGGAGGATGATGGCACCCCCTCCTCCCCGCTGATGTACCCCAGCCCCTCCAGCACCATGTCTCCTTCCCTCAGCGCCCGCTGCTCCGTGGAGCTGCCCCGGCTGACCGACCTGACCGGCACCATCAGCCTGAACGAGAGCCTCGGGGAGAGCATGCTGGAGGACCTGCAGGACGGCTACGCCATGAGCCCGAGCCAGCAGCTCCCGCCGGCCGCCCTGCGGCAGCGCAGCTCCAGCTTCACCTTCAACTCCAAGTGCTCCAACATGGGGGCTGCCGGCAACACCTACTGCGGGACCATCTACAGCCAGCCGGCCATGGGCCTCATGCGCCGCCTGCCCATGCAGACCATCCAGGAGAACAAGCAGGCCACCTTCTCTCCCGTCAGCTCCTACAGGAACGCCTCGCTGCAGGACCTGCTCTCCTCCATCTCCTACGCGCACAAGGAGAGCATGGTCCCGGGGGACCTGCCCCTGCCGCAGGCCAGCCCCATGGTGCCGGCCCGTGGCCACAGACACAACCCGCTGCTGTGCGGGGGCGGGGAGCAGGGCCTGTCCTCCTACCCGTCCCACCCGGGCTCTCTCATGAAGAGCGGCGCGTTGTACCACCCGTCACCAGCCGGCCACCACCCCGCGGTCAACACCAGTGCCTTAGCCAATCCTGTCAGCCTTATGAGCCTGCCCAGCGACTCGTGCAGCATGGCGGCCGTGCCGCACCACGGGCACCTGCATCCCTACGCCAGTAACCAAGGGGCACACATGAGCCTGCTGGATTCGCTGCAGGGCCCCTACCCGGGGGCCGTCCACCCCCCCGTGTTGGGCCAAGACAGGTTCCCAGCAGACCTGGACCTGGACATGTTCAACGGGAGCCTGGAGTGCGACGTGGAGTCGATCATCCTGAATGACTTTATGGACAGCGATGAGATGGACTTCAACTTCGACTCGGCCCTCCCGCCGCAGAACGGGCTCAACGTGCCCGCGCTGCCCGGGGGGCCACAGCCCACAAACCAGAGCTGGGTGCCTGGGTGATGCCCGCCCCGGGGGGGGCTGACCACCGGGAAGCCACGAGGGGAACATTGAGACTAACTTTTTTTTTTCCTTTCTCTTCTGCCTTTGTTTGTTAAGATGGGCGAGAGCCGTCGGTCTGAGCTCGAGGTCGAACACGGAACACAAACCGGAGGGTCAAATACTGAGATGGAGGGGGAGGGCCCCCAGCCCCACGTGTGCCCCGTCTGCTGGGTCCTCCCGTGGGCATCCTCCAGAGGACACAGGGCAGCTGAGTGGGAGAGGCAGCTGGAGCCAGACGGATCCAGGGGGGTAGCAGGAAGGGAAGGCCTTTCCAGATGGTCCCAGTGCCCCACTGTGATGGTGCCAGTTTGATTTGCCCTTGGGCTGGGTGACAGAGCGGTGACGGCTGGTGGTGTGGTCGTTTCCCATGGGAAGGGACTGTTCCCTGAGCCACCTTGGGAAATGAGTCCTCTGGGTAGAAGTGTCAGGAGTGGGGACCCTGCCCCAGGGTGGGGGGGCTCGTCACCCCTCAGTCCTGGTGGAGGTCAGAGCTCTGCCAAGCCCACACACCCAGGACACCTCCACAGGGAGTGTCCTTGTGTGGCCCCAGGCAGGTTCTCTTACCGAGCAGTGAGAGGGGTGGTGATGGAGGGGAGGGTGTGCAGGCAGCAGCCCTGGGAACAGCATCTGGGCAGCCCCCTCGCCTGCTGGGGGCTGGGGGTGCCCCAGGAATGCTGCAGTCCCTGCCTGGGGCAGGCGTGGGCAGGGCCCGGGGGGGTCCTGCTGGGAGTGATGTGCTGCTGGAATGGGTCCCCTGTGCTGGAGGCTCAGGGGCAGCTCGCAGGGTTGGGGAGGGGGGCATATTTATTTGATTTCATGCACTCTTTTACCATTGAGTTTTTGCATTGGAAGGAAGAAAGGGTCGAGCTTAGGGACAGGAGAGAGAGGCCGTGAGCAGTGCTGGTGGCTGTGTCCCGTCACAGGGCTCATCTTGGCTTGGCCATGGCTTTGGGTGCTGGATGATGGGGTGAAAGCTGTGATGGGGGTCACCCTCAAGAAGGGGAGGGTTGTGGTGGCCAGGCCTCCAGGTGCAGGGTGGGGTCCTTCCTGCCCCAAACCTGGGTGACCCACATTGCTCAGGGAGGTGCCATGGGGCTCACAGCCAGGGCTGTGGGGCTCCAGGGGCTCACTGCCCATCCCCAAGGTGCCAGGAGAGCTGGTCCAGGGGGCTGTCAGCAAGAGGGGTGCACCCACCTTCCAGGGGCCGGGGCTCCGTGGGGATGGGGACCACAATTCACACGTGGTCCTGCCGCGTGCCAGGACCCCAAACTGGCCCCACTGCCTCAGTGGGGCAGGCGAGGGCCAGGGGGCCACAGCCATCCTGCACAGCTGTGAGGCAGCTCTGCCCTGGGTGCAGGGGGGTTTTGGAGGGGGCAGGCTGGTGGGCAGCAGCAGCGACTGGTCCATGCTCTGGAGGCACTGGAGGGTTTGGGAGGATGTGGTGGGAGCTCCTGCTCTGTCCTGTGGAGTCTCTGCTCAGCCATCCTTCCTCCTGGGCACCACAGGCTCTCTCTAACCCCCAGCCCCTGCCTTGCAGCAGGGTCAGGCTGCTGAACCAGCACGTTCTCCCAGCCCAGCTCTTCCCTTCTCACCCCAGGACCTGCTCCCCTGGCACAGTGCAGGCACTGGGTCCCAGCTGCAGGGACAGTGTGGCTGCCCAGAGCCAGGGCAGGGGCCTGTGGGTGGGCACCTCCTGCTCCTCTCCTGACCCACAGGGCTGTGGCAAAGAGGAGCCCCATGTGCCACCGTCCACCTTTGACCAGGGCACACGGCAGGCACAGTGTCTGAAGACATTCTTACAAGTTAATTAATTATGTTTACATTATTTGATCATGTACAGAATTTAATATATTCTATTATATATAATCTTTCTTGAATGCTTTTTTAAAAAGGGTTATTCTTTGGTCAGGATCATTACCACATTCCTTTTGTACACCACCTCTCGTTTCAGGCATATTTCAAATCCTTGGAAACCGGTCGCAAATGGCAAATTAATCCCTGGCCCCCCAGTTCAGCACGTGGGGTGTGAGGGACCCAGAGTCAGGGAGGGCAGGGAGGGCTGCCCTGGAGGAAAAAGGGGGGCTCTGCCCCCAAGAACGGGAGAAACAGAAGGGGTCCTGGCTCTTCCAGGCATCCAGTGTCCAGGCACAGCTCCAGCAGCACACCAGCACACCGGGCCAGCAGGCAGGCGTTTGCAGATGGGATTCTCTGGCACAGGGACCCCCAAGCCCCCTGTGGTGTCACCGACCCGACCATCGGTGTGGAGGGGGAGCCACACCAGCAGCAGGAGAAAACTCTCCCCTTGTCTCATGCCTGCCCCCCCCGCTGCCCCCCTGCCCCGCTGCTGGAGCCCCTCGATCCCCCCGGGGCACGTCCCATTGCCCAGCTGTCCTTGTGGTTCGTGACCGTGGGGTTGTCGTGTGTGCGGTGGAGTCGTGTTGGTTTTGAAGCGTCGTGTGTTCAGTCGTGTGCGGGGCGAGGGACGGCGGGGCAGGCACAGAGACCCCACAGCGGCTGGGACCCCGGCCCGGGGGGCTGCAGGGGAGCCCAGGGACCCGGGGGGTGGTGGTGGCACGGGGGATTTCAGGGCTGTGCTTGATGCCCGTGGGGCAGGCGGGTGCTGGGGGCCCTGGGGGTGGCTGGCACGGCCGTGCCCTCTGTGAGTGCGAGTGTGGGGCCACCAGGGCTCTGTGTCACTGTGGGGTGGCCGAGGGGACACCAGGGCTCTGTGTCACTGTGGGGTGGCTTAGGGGACACCAGGGCTCTGTGTCACTGTGGGGTGGCTNCAGGGCTCTGTGTCACTGTGGGGTGGCTTAGGGGACACCAGGGCTCTGTGTCACTGTGGGGTGGCTTAGGGGACACCAGGGCTCTGTGTCACTGTGGGGTGGCCGAGGGGACACCAGGGCTCTGTGTCACTGTGGGGTGGCCGAGGGGACACCAGGGCTCTGTGTCACTGTGGGGTGGCCGAGGGTTCTCTCTCTGAACACAGCGAGGCCCCCTCACGTCCCACCTCACTCAGCTTCACCCTCCCTGCTCCATCGCCCCCTCTCCCCCTGGTGCCCTGAGGACATGGAGCTCCCTCTGCTCCCAGCCCTGCCCCTGCTCAGCCCTGCCTGGAGCTGGTGTGGGGGGACGCCGAGGGGCCCCCCCGGTTTGCTCATACAGTGGTTTTGGGTCCGTCCTTTCCCTCGTATTTATAACTGTACAGACTGGGGGGGAGGGTCTGAGGTCATCTCTCACCACACATCTATCGTAGGCAATGGTAACTTTCTTGGTTGTGCTATTAGAGTTTGTGTATGTGGCAATGTAAAGAACTGTGTATAGTGCATTGTACAGCATATTTTCATGAATAAAATTGTTTTAAATATTACAAGGTGAGGCTGCTGCTTGTGTGCCTGGGCTGAGATGGGGGGAGGGTTCCCCCAGGGAAGCTGAGGAACCTGAGGAGAGTTACCAAGGAGAGGATGTGATGTTTGGTGACACTGAGCTTGCACCCAGAGCATGGGGATGGTTGGGCTGTCAGGTCATAGAACCATAGAACCATAGAACCTCTGAGGTTAGGAAAGCCCTCTAAGGCCACTGAGTCCAACCATCCCCCCAACACTTCCACACTCACCACTAACCCCTGTCCCCAAGTGCCACATCCACATGTCTTTTAAATCCCTTCAGGGATGGTGACTCCAGCACTGCCCTGGGCAGCTGTGCCAGGGCTTGACAATCCTTTCCATGAAGAAACTTTCCCTAATATCCAGCCTAAACCTCCCCTGGCACAACTTGAGGCTGTTCCCTCTTGTCCTGTCCCTTGTTCCCTGGGAGCAGAGTCTGACCTCCCCCAGCTCCCCCCTCCTGTCAGGGAGTTGCAGAGCCAGAAGGTGCAGTCCCACCTGGACACGCCTCTGGATATGGGCCTAGACAGTCTACAAGTAAATGTATTTACCAATATTTTCTGAGACTGATGTCCTGCCCCAGGGTCACTGCTGTCTGGTGTAGTGGTGGGGACAGTGTCCAGCTCGTGCCCTGCACCTGCTGTCCCAAGCCCCCTCCCTCCCTGTGAGGCTCCCTGGGTACAGCCCCAGCCACTGGCCTGGAAATCCCCCTTTCCATCTGCTGTTGGAGCTGTTTGGACCAAAATTTCCCCTTTATGTGGTTGATTTTATTTCCTGCCCAACCTCATTCCACGCCCTGCCATGGGCAGGGACACCTCCCACCAGCCCAGGTTGCTCCAAGCCCCATCCAACCTGGCCTTGGACAC